TATCCTATGAACAACTCATGGTATTTCAATTAAGAGCTTATTCAATTATCACCTCTCAGTCTCAAATCAAATACAAAATAGTGTAATAGTTGGCCAAACAATCACAAGCATTAAGAATAAATTGAAATACTCAGCATATATGGATTAAACATCAATTACTTAAAAAGAAGATTGAGAATTCGAACATTCATAATCCGGCTACATCGTAGCCCTAGAAAAAGGAATTAGTTCATCTCTAAACAAAATAAATTCCTAAACAAAGTCTTAATCATTGGAAAGGAAAGAAAAGAACTAGTTTGGAGTTGAATTGAAGTGTAGCCGTCTCCGGATTTGAGCCGTTCTTCTTCTCCGTCCCAATTCTCCTTTTCTTCTCTTGAATACTCTCTCAAAAGCCAGCCGTCATTCCACAGTCTAAAAGTCTTCTTTCTAATTGCCCTAGAATCATCTATTTATATGTTTCGGAGCATTAGGGTCAAAACGGGTAAGTTTTCACGCGATTGGCCTTCAAAACGCGTAATTTCTCGCGTCGTAGCGCTGCGGCGCTGAGTTTCCAGCGCTGCGGCGCTACTGTGTCAAATGCCTGGGCGCTGCGGCGCTGTAATGGGCGCCTAAGCGCTGCCCATTCTGTCCGCGCCTAAGCGCTGTCCATTCTGCCCAGTGCACAATTTCTGCCGGATTTCAGCGCCGCGGCGCTACAAACAGGCGCCAAAGCGCCACTAGTTCTGCCTAAATTGCTGATTCTGTATAACTCAGTGCCAAGGCACTACAGATTGGCACCTAAGCGCTATGATTTCTGTCTTTTTCCACCGAAATTTGTCCAAAACCTTCCAAATCATAGACTTCCACCTATCCTTCAAACAAAGAACGAAAACACACATAAAAACTAACAAAAACCTCGAAACCAACTAAATATTAAGTATAAAATGATACTAAATGAGCGAGTAAAACTCACTCATCAAGTGCCGTACCAGCCTCCAACTTAAGGGAGGTAACCAAGCTCCGACTCAAAGGAGAAAAGAAAAAAAATAATAATGTCCTCCGACTCAAGGGAGGCATTCAAGTTATAATCACGGTGTCGTAGGGGACCTTGCAAACCCTCACGTCCCGATGATTACGTGCAAGTGGTACGCGAGCACTCGGGCCCACAAGAAAGAAAGAAAAGATAAGATAAGATAATAAGACTATGATAAGACATCATAATTAAGCATAATCAGCTCATGCATATTTATTCATGTGTACTCACCGTTATTTTGCGAGAGATAGTTCCTACTTGCTGAGCGAAAGCTCAATCATATATGTTCATGCTGTAGGTAAGAAACCTATCAGCAATTCTTGAAGGGCAGTGGCGAGCGGCGGATGAATGGTGGAGATGAGAATGGATACCGCTAACATTTAAATCTTCCGCAGTAAGTTTAAGTAAAATCATGTATATGTCTATATGATTCAAAGGTTTCAAGCATGGATGTTTGAAAAGTATATGTACATATTTATGTTAAGGAAACCGAGGTTGTAGCCAATAACCCTAGTCTTGAGTATTTAAAGTTTTATAATGTTGCAACAATACATGCAACAAGTAAACGAATTTAAACGTGACGATTGATTTTAAAAGGACTTTAAAAAAGTAATTGAATCTAAGATTTCTCTCGAAATCTGTTTTAAAGTCAAATTAGATAGCCGATGGAGTTGGCTAGTTTTAGAAAGGCTTTTAAAGAGTATTTGAAACAAGAGTTCAAACGCTGCTCCATTTGAAAGATATTTCTAGAAGGTTTTATCTTAAGAGAAATTAAGAAAAGCTTTAAGAAATTTAGTGATTCATTCTTTTGCAATTATAGTTACGAGTTATAAAATTATTCCTTTTTATATTTAAAAAATATATATATTCTGCAAATTTTAAGAAACCTCAGTAAGTACAAGTTAAAAATTTCAGCTACAGTGACGACCACCCAGGAGGGTCATCACATTCCTAACCACTTCGGTCCACGTAATTTTTGGTCTACCCCTCCCTCTCCTAGTATTAGGTATAAGAATGTCCTCCCAAGCACGAACTGGTACTTCTAGCGGTCTACGTTGGACATGTCCATACCACCTCAAGCGGCCTTCGCGCACCTTATCCTCTATTGGTGCTACACCTACTTTACTACGAATAACTTTATTCCTTATGCGATCCATTCTCGTATGGCCACTCATCCGTCTTAACATACGCATTTCTGTCACACTCATCTTATGTTGTCTCTTAATGGCCCAACATTCACTACCATATAACATAGCTGGGCGGATTACAGTCCTATAGAACTTTCCTTTCAACTTAATAGGCATCTTGCTATCACATAAAACTCCCGTAGCATTCTTCCATTTAACTCATCATGCCTTAATCCTATGTTGAATGTCCTCTTCTCTATCTCATTTGTACTGTACTATAGACCCAAGGTACCTAAACTTCCTAGAAGCCCTAATCTTCACACCATCTAAAGAAATTATATCACTCTAATTACTTAAGTTACTAAACTTACAATGCATGTATTCAGTTTTTGTCCTACTTAACTTAAATCTCTTTGTCTTGAGAGTCTATCTCCACAGTTTTAACATACGGTTAACTCCTTCCCTATATTCATCAACTAAACTATATCATCTGCAAAAAGCATACACCAAGAAACTCTATCTTAGATTTCTCTTGTCAGCTCATCCATCATGATAGTGAAAAGATAAAGATTAAGACCAGATCCTTGACAAAAATAAATAGTAAATAGCTAGAAACATGTATAAGGAGAACACAAATGTCTTAATTTGATTAATTAAAACCAAAGATTTGAAATGAAGACATATTTGTCGCTCTCTCGAAAGCGTGTGGAAAATTAACTAACCAAGACTTTTAACATAAAGGCTAATTTAATCAAGTATTGACTCAAGAGTCAACATCCATTTGTAGAGACTTTATACTTTTCAAAACGATCACTTTCAGCGGATAATCATCGACATATAATTAGGTGTTATTTGCGTGGGTGGGGACATTACAAGAGCATTCCGATGTATTTCTTAAAAAAAGCTAATAATAATATGGGAAATTCTATGGCAGGGAAAGATTACTTTTCCTTATCAATAGGCTATGTACTATAACCACAAGATCAATTTAGAATGGTTCTGATAAGAGAATGCACCGAAATATTATAAGAAAGAGTGCAGGTGATTATGCTTAACATTTTCTTTTTTTTTGTAACATTATCTTTTTTTTTTTGTAAAAAAAAAAAAAAAAAAAAAAAAAAATCCCACCCCATATGAACTCTCCGAATTTTTCATCTTCCATCATCTGAAATTTATTCCTATTAATTAATTAAATTTTGTATAGGGAAATTTGTAAATTTCTCAAGGATGCTAAACTTGGGGTTTGAGTTTGTGTCCTCTTGCTTGAAGCCAATTTGATTTTACATTCCTCTTCTTCTCTTGTAATTGAAGTCTTTTCCTTGATATTGGATGTTGGAAATCCAATCATGATTGATCATTAGCGCCTGTAAAAGCTAATTCTTTGCCTTTAATGAACTGGTCTTCAATATCTATATCCCAATGAAACTTTGATATCTACTTGATTTTGCATTCTCCTTCTTCGCACTTAATCTTCAGCGTGAGAAAAAGTTCTCTCCAAGCTGTACAACGATATTTGTTGTTCTTAAATTAAGAAATAAAGAGGTACGATGAGGGAAAAGACGAATATGAGATTGTGTTAATTTAAAATTTAAAACTGAGTTTGAGTTAAACAAGAATGAGATCGGGGAGTGCAGGAGAGGAGCTCGTGACAGTGGGGCATAAGCTATTGTGCCGCAGTGGAGACGGCGACGTGGAGAGATTTTGCGGAGGGGCGAAGGAGGGGGGCTTAGCGCCGTCGGGGGAGAAGCTGATTGGCGCCGCTGGGAGGTGGTTCACGCTTTCGTCGGGAGTGCTGTGTTCTTCATCGCAGTAGTGCAGGGATTCATCGTCGTGGCGGCAGCCGGCGTTTGGACTGGAGTCTGGAGTAGAAAGATCTATTGATTTTGAAGGTTGTTATACTTTTGTATTGTTTTGTGAATTTTCTGGGTTTGAGATTTAAGATCAATATTTGGGAAAATGGAAAAATTGAGAGAGCTCTCATCAATGGACAACTGAGAAGGGAAGGTTTTTTCTATTTTTTATTTTTCATTTTTTATTTTTAATTTTGTGTAATCTTGTACAATCCACGTTATAGTTGTTTTGGTGTATCATTTTAATCTAAACCATACAACAATGATCCTACGGTTGAACACAATATTGATAGGGAAAAAGTACCATACCTACCAATCCATTGACGTTCCCAATAAGTAATTAATCCACTATAAATAAGGTGTACCCCCTTTAGCAATATTATATGCAAATTTCAATAATTATCCAATGGCTCTTTCTTGGTTTCTCTTGCTCAGTCTCACTATTTCCACTCTTCTAAACATTGGTCTTTATTCGGCTGCTCAGGATGATAGAAAGGTAATGATATATAACTTACTTGTAAATCCATATACCTTGCCTATCTAGTTTCTTAATTCTTGATTATATGCAACCTAAATATCTGTAATCTCACGCGTACTAAAAATACAAGTATTTAATGAACTTTGCATTTTCTCAAGATGTGTCGAACAAATCCAACACTAATTTGATCGTGTCTGTATTTCTCTAATCATGCATGATTTCCCATATATATGTCTTTATGGTTTTAGTGATCTTGCCATATTTCAAACTAATTGCCCGGACGTATATCTTACATATCTACTTTTAATTCCATCTCATTATCTGTTTTTCCCTCGCTATTACATTAACTGTTTTTAATTTAAATAGACTTGACTTTTGTATAAAAATATATGTTATCTGCGGAACAGGCTTACATTGTCTACATGGGCGACAGTCCAAAAGATGAGGTTTCAATGGCACAGCTTCACGTCAATATGCTACAAAATGTGGTTGGCAGGTATATGTCAACAATAAATAAATAAATATATATATATATATAATAAGTACATCTCAATTATAAGCACCACTAGTTTTTTAAAATTCAATGGAGGAGATATTTATGAAATTAATCTATACAAATAATGCCGAGGATAATATTGTTGTTTCTAGGTTAAAAAAGGGGATATATACAACCTAAGAGAGAGTGAACAGCTCGACTTATACTTTTTTGTTACTTATATCAAGGCTGTGAATCTTTCACATAACTAATGTTAAAATCGAGTAAATTTTCAATAACATTTTATACTCGCTCCATTAGTCAATTATAACGTAAAAGCTTTTGTATTAAAAAGGCATATATATTGTACTTGTTCCTCGAACCCACGTATATTTAAAATTTTAAATGTATACATGTAAGTATTTATGTATGTGTTTTATGTACATGTGTGTGTATGCGACTATGTGTATGTGCACATGTATATATATAATATATAACCGTATATATATATATATATGTGTCATGTACTAGTTAATGTTATATGTCATGTACTAATTAATGTACGAATGTAATCAGCGATATTGCACCGGCATCTCGACTTCATAGCTACAAGAGAAGTTTCAATGGATTTGTTGCGAAGCTAACCGGGAAAGAAGCACAAGAAATGGCCGGTAATATGTGAAGCAGTATTATTTTTCTTCTGTTTTCTTTTCTTTAATCTATTAATTAGGAATCATAAAATAGTATTCGTGCGTGCAAATTAACTACTATAATATTCATATATATATCTGTATAATTAGGGAAGGAGGGAGTAGTGTCTGTTTTTCCTAGCGAAAAGCAGGAACTGCATACAACAAGGTCATGGGACTTCATTGGGTTTCCTCAGCAAGTCAAAAGGAGCACACTCGAAAGCGACATCATAATAGGAGTAATCGACACTGGAATTTGGCCCCAGTCTAGTAGCTTCGACGACAAAGGATTTGGTCCACCACCTTCCAAATGGAAGGGATCATGCCAAGTCTCATCCAATTTTTCTTGTAACAAGTACGTACAAATCACATTAATTTTATATATTAATACTATATATATGGACTGGCATGGGTCTGACATGTAAAGTACCGATTGCAAAATTAAGAACACATTTTTTTGCATTTAATAAAATTATACCATGATTCCCCTAAAAAGGATATACTATAATTCCTTAGTTATGGCTAATTAATTAGACCGTGTAACCACCAATTTGGTAGTGTAGCAGTAATGATTTTTTTTTCCCCCACTTCTTAGTTAAGGTTTCACGAGATTTTGACACTCCAGTAACCCAATTAGAGGTCTTATGAGAGGAATTATTCAGGGTGTCATGTCAATTTGGTGATGTGACATACCCATCTAATAAATTTTTAACATATGATTGTTAAAGTATAAAACTATTATTGGCCCATCTCCTAAAGGCTTAAGCTTTTGGAATGGATTGGTAAATTAACATGGTATCAGAACGGGAAGTCATAAGTTCAAACCCCCGTAATTGCACTCTTTATCTCCATTTAAAAATTGTCATGTGTTGGGTCTTTAATGTATATCGGGCTTAAATATTCACGTGTTGGGCTTTCCAATTAATTTACTCACACGATTGCCCATTGTCTAACCCACACGTGAGGGGGAGTGTTAAAGTATAAAACTATTGTTGACCCATCTCCTAAAGGCTTAAGCTTTTGGGATGGATTAGTAAACTAACAATGATGTTGAATTGTGTGTCCAAGTAAATTGTGTGACGTCAAATCCTTAATAGTATGAGTGAAATCAAGCTCATTATTTGAGTTTGAGTAGCCAATTATAGCATGGGATAGAGAGATAAATAACTTATTATTCAAATTCAAAAAAAAGTAAATAGCGTTTTTTTTAAATGTTTGAAGTAAATAGCGCTGGTAAATAAATACATAAATCATTATTTATGCCTCATAAAAAATGTTTAAAAAATATACTATTTATTACCATTACTGTAGAAATCAAGCATACTTTCTTGTATGAACGAACTGTCATGTAATTGATTATTAATCAACAAAAACAGCAAAATCATTGGAGCAAAGTACTACAAAAGCGACGGTTTCTTCGTAAAAGGTGAAATCTTGTCTCCACTAGACTCGGACGGCCACGGGACACACACGGCATCGGCGGCCGCCGGGGGCTTAGTAAGCGGCGCAAGCCTTTTCGGGTTCGGCTTGGGAACTGCGAGGGGAGGAGTTCCGTCGGCTCGCCTCGCTGTCTACAAGGTGTGTTGGCCGTACGAAGGCTGTCAAGATGCCGACATCCTTGCAGCCTTTGACGACGCTATTGCCGACGGCGTCGACATAATTTCTGTCTCTCTCGGATCATCCGCCAGGGATTATTTCCAGAACTCGATCGCCATTGGCGCTTTCCATGCTATGAGGAAAGGAATTTTGACGTCCACTTCAGCTGGCAACAACCCGTCGAGTCTTACAAACTTTTCTCCTTGGTCTATCTCTGTGGCTGCTAGCACCATGGATCGGAACTTCGTTACTAATGTTCAATTGGGCAACGACAAGATTTATGAGGTAATAAATAATCATATAATTCGTTTGTTAATTATGTAATGATTAAATACTATTAACCTCTAAATTAAGCTCTTAATTATATGTTTTCCTCACTGATCTATATGTAGGGAACGTCGATAAATACATTTGACATGAAAAATAAACAGTTTCCTGTAATATACGGTGGAGATGCACCCAATACTACGGCCAATTATGACTCGTCTTTTTCAAGGTAATTTTTATTTATTTATTTATTTATTGAATTTTTAGAAGAGTATATCATGGTAAGTCAAGGAATCACAAAAGATTTTTGTTTTCCTCTTTGCTGGAAAATGATTACTCTATTCTCTAAACTGAAAAATAGACGCAATCAGTTTTTTTAGTTGGAAAATGGATCACTCCTGTTAGAACAAATATTGTAACACGTGATCTGAACTTAAATTTTTCTACGTCACGGTCTTTTTTTTATGTCTTTTAAGTCGCTTTGATTTTGATGGTCATTCATTTGATGAGACGCTAAGGTTAAGCATTCTAACATCATTAATCCTGACATTTTGCATTAAAGCATTTGAAAAATTTAACTTGAGAGGAAATTGGTGAACACACTTTTGAATCATTGTTATAAGATTTTTATCTTTTAGTCTTGATTTATATTCTTTTGACTAACATAATTCTTTAGTCAAAAGGGTATTAATCAAGTAAAAATGTAAAATCAATATATTTTAAAAGGTACAAGTATTTGTCTTCCTTTTCCTTTTCTTAATTAAGACAGTGTTGTTTTCCTTGAAACATTGTCATTTCTTTTGTTAATTATAATCAAAACGTGGTCGTCTTAAGGGAACATATTCACTTGCACAATACGTATTACTACTTATGCAGGTATTGCTTGGGCGATTCGTTGGACAAGAATTTGGTGAAGGGTAAAATTGTCTTATGCGATGGGTATACCCTCGGGACAGGGGCGCAGTCGGCCGGGGCGGTCGGCGTCGTCATGTCCGGTGGGGCTTCCGGGAAGCTTGCTGACACATATCCCTTGCCTTTGTCTTCTCTTAGCTTGGAGGATAGTGCCAAACTTTATATCTATCTTAACTCTTCCAGGTATATATATTTATTCTAAGACAAAATAAGAGATGATTATAAAAATGTAATTCTTAAGAGTTGTTTTCTTTTCTAATTAAAAATATGCAGAAAACCAACTGCATCAATATGGAAAAGTAAAGAGAAATCTGATAAGCTGGATCCCTACATTGCTTCGTATTCATCAAGGGGTCCAAATCCAATTACCCCTAATATTCTCAAAGTACGTATTCTTTGTTATGCTCGATCTTTCTTCTATATGAATCTAGAGAGATATTGTAGCGATTTTTTTTTAAATTCAATTTTCATATTATTTAATTATGATATGATATGACGCTTACTAAACAATCTGTAGAGATATATAGATCTATATATCTACGGATTTGTACTAAAGATTTTTTTTTTTTTTTTTGCTACGCTAATCTGCGAATATTACACCGTGAGCAGCCAAACTTGGCAGCTCCAGGGGCTTATATCTTGGCAGCATGGCCACTGTACATCCCAGTTTCGCGCATCGAAGGAGACAACAGAATAGCGGCATACAACATACTTTCCGGCACATCAATGGCCTGTCCGCACGCCTCCGCTGCTGCTGCCTACGTCAAATCATTCCACCCCACGTGGTCTCCGGCCGCCATCAAGTCTTCTCTTATGACTACCGGTAATAATAGTTGCGCACTGATTAACATCACAATTTCAATACAAATAGTGGAGTCCTGTTCTTAGAACAGCTAGGACTTAGATATTGAGCTACTGGATAAACCAGATTTTAATTTCCAATTCATATTAGAAGTGCGAAAACAAAATGACAAATTTTATGTGAATTGGTTGCAGCTAAGCCCATGACTGCGGACCTTAATTCCGAAGCCGAATTTGCGTACGGATCTGGACTAATAAATCCTCTAAAGGCTGCGTATCCTGGTCTAGTATATGACATAGATGAAAATGACTACGTAAATTTCTTGTGTGGACGCTACAATGCCAAGTTGTTGAAAATAATCACAGGAAACAGTAAGAGCTCATGTTCTAAAGGCGGTGATGGAACAGCTTCCGACTTGAACTATCCTGCCTTTGTTGTCTCAGCCTCGCCTTTGGAATCTATCAACCATGTCTTCAATAGGACCGTCACAAACGTCGGATCACCGACCTCAACATATAAAGCTAACTTGGTTGCCCCACCGGGGCTTAAAATCACAGTGAACCCAAGTGTTCTGTCCTTCACATCCGTCGGCGAGAAGCTATCGTATGCGGTGACGGTGCAGGGGACAGTAGATAGGAAAGTTGTGGTCTCTGCTTCTCTTGTGTGGGATGATGGGGCTTGCCAAGTCAGGAGCCCTATTGTTGTTTATGTCCCAACATAAAAGGGTATAATGTTTCACTGTCGCGTAAAATAATCAAAAGAAACTTTAGTAAAAGTGCCATAGAAGATTAGGCACAAATTAAGTATCAATAAGATAAATGCAGTTGGGGGAAAATTAAGCAAAGAACTAAATAAATGGTCTCTGCTTCTCTGTTCTGCCATGCAATTTTTATTTGCCTTCGGAATCAATTGCATCTTCAGACCGGCATGTATATCTTCTGGTTTCCCTTTCACTTAAGGGATTTAATATTTATGGGATGAGATGATTTTAGATGTTAAGCTTGTATTGTTGGAGAGAGAAGTGAAAGGAGAGACAAGGGCGAGAGGATTACAGGAATATTGCAGTTGTTTGGTAGGAGAGGAAAAAGAGCAGCTAAGGAATTTTAAATCCTTTAAACATATAGAATGACTAAAAAAAAAATATCAAAGAAAGAAAGAAAACGACATATAAAATGACTATATCAAAGGATTAGAGTGAAAAATCTATACCAAACACAATTAAAAAAAAAGGTTCGCTTTTTTATCTCCTTTTTTTTCTTATCTAGGCAATATGATTTTCTTTTCTCCTTACCAAACACACCATAGTCAGCCAGCTACATAAACATGTAGAATGAGTATATGTATTTTAGTACCAATTATAAATTGGGAATAGAGAAACAATTTAATCCATACAAGATATTTATAATGTATTGTGCCAAACGCCAAATTAAGCAGATTTAGAACAAATAATGAATAATTAAAAAATCTAAAAATATATGAGGATTTAATGTGGTTTGACTTTTAGTCTACATCCACGAAAAAATCAATAAAAAAATTCCACTATAATCAAAATAGATTATAAAAGCTTGTCAAATATCTTTCACTACCTAAATTCTGAATACCTCAAAATCTCTCAACTGAAAAACAAAAATACCAAATATCAAAGAATTAAATTCTCTAACAAATCCCACTCAAAAGAGGAAAAATTATGTATCAATGGGAGAAACAAAAACACTAATGCGGCAGATGTTCACATATGCATATTTACGTTTAGTTTATGTATTTAGAATCATGATTTAGAATTATTCTCGATTTACGTGTATTTTTTATGAGACGACTCACGAACCATAATTCGAACCATGGCACGAATCCTTAAACCAAACACACTCTTATATACGCTTCTCCAAAGCATGAGTCTGCGGCAAGCTAGGTTAAGGGAGAAACCAATAGGCCTTTGCCCAATAGCAAAATCAAGGCTTAATTAAAGCCACAAGCCCAACATAATGTATATAATAATCGTCCGCTATGGTGGTTTGTATACTCAAAAGAGAAGGGAAAGGGAAAAGATATTTTTTGAACTTTGAGTGAAAATTTAAAGCTTTAACATTATGTTTTGATTTGTGAAAATGTACACACTCCATCGAAATTATACCAATTGGCATTGACGCTTTTTGCAATCTAGAAAAGTATCCCAAAGATTCTGGTCAAATGGTCTTCTTTAGGCCGTTAATGATTGAGAGAGAAAACAACATATATATATATATATATATGCTTAAAAAACACACTAATTTTTGTCTATAAAAGATGGTGAAAATTACATCAATTTGCGGAGAAAAAGAAGTGTGGATTATCTATCATTCTGAATTAAATATATTTCCGAAAAAGTTTCTAAAAGTCGGCAGGTATTGGGACAAGCAAAGTTTTCCGTTTGATTAATCCTATTTTATTTGTTGCTTTTTACAAGTTGAAGAAAAAAATCTTATAATTGGCTCTTACTGTTTTCTTAGCTATGCATGTGGGAACAACTCATGTATCCCTTTATTCATATTATCTTTTATATTATTCCAATAATATTACATCACATTAATTAAAATTTTATATTACACTAATTAAAAAGTCATGAGAGTTAGTTAATGTTTCATAATCTTATTGGAGACACGATCGAATAAGGGGACAAATGAGCTCAATCCATCCATGTATTGTTTGATTCTAGCATAAATATTTCATTTCCGTTTAGTTTCAAAACTTGCTGCATTTGAGTGGAAGAGAGGAAAAAAAAAATGTAGTGAACCTCAGAAGTCAGAACACATCAAACTGGAAAGTATCAGATGGGTCCATTAAGCTAGGAGACATGGAATCTTCTATCTCTATAATTGAGAACTTTTTTCCTTTTTTCGTTTCTTTTCTAATCGTCTTTCTCCTGATACCCACGAAAAAGTTATCTAAATTTTAATTAGCTTAGGATGGTTTTTTTTTTCACATCTACAAATCTACTTTGGTCCATTCAATATAAATCTTCAGAAAAACTTGCCATGTCCATTAATTAATTAAGCCAATCCGTGCAAATGGCTTTTTCATGGATTCTCCTCCTCAGCCTCACTCTCACTCTGCTGAGTATTCATCACTCAGCAGCTCAAGACGAACGAAAGGCAAAATTACTTACTCCTTCATATCTTTTATTCATTAATTCTGCAAAGGCAATCCATTTGAAAATTTGGCATTTGGGAGTAGCTGAATACTTCATGATCTGATCTCTGTGGTTTTTTTTTTCTTTATCTTTTTTCTTTTTGTGGATATAATTTATGCAGGCTTTTATCTGATCTCTGTGTTTTTTTTTTAAACATAATTTATGCAGCCTTATATTGTATACATGGGAGACCTGCCAAAGGACGAGGTTTCCACATCACCCCTTCACTTCAATATGCTCCAAAAAGTCATTGACAAAAGGTGACAGAAAGTTTTGCAGTGTACAATTAATTTTTTAACGTACTTCTGAAGTTTGTCAGGGTAGAAAATGTGTTCCAAAAATTATTTTTTTTGATAATCATACATAAAAAAAGTTTTATAAGTATATGATGCATTCAAAAGAACTAGGAATATCATGTTTATTTAGAAACAGAATCATCAACTAATATATATTAAAGACATGTTCAAAAAAGCCTTCTATGACATCTCTCAATACACGAGTTTAGACCATCATTATTTTGTTTGGTTTAGCCATATTGTGGCCGGATCTCTTCTCCGCAGCTACAAGAGAAGTTTCAATGGATTTGCCGCTAAGCTAACCAAGGAAGAAGCCCAAAAAATGGCTAGTATGTGAATTTTGGCTACTTTTTCTTTTTTTCTTTTATTTTTTTTTCACATTGCTATGTTTGAAAGATTGGAATTATATGAATATCCCCTGTTTTTGGAAACTAACTTTCTTTGGATTTAGGGATGGAAGGTGTAGTCTCTGTGTTCCCTAACCGAAAGAAGAAGCTGCACACAACAAGGTCATGGAACTTCATTGGGTTTCCACAGCAAGTTAAGAGAAGCACGGTCGAAAGCGACATCATCATCGGAATGTTTGACTCCGGAATCTGGCCAGAGTCGAGTAGCTTTGATGACAAAGGATTTGGTCCACCACCTTCTAAATGGAAGGGTACATGTGAAGTTCCTTCCAACTTTACCTGTAACAAGTACGTCTCAAAATATTTTATTTCAAATTAATGTTTAAGGACATATAGATATAGTAGCATTAACTATGGAATCTTTTTGTCACTTTAGATATACCTCAGCCGCAAAATATATACCCACTTCTCTAAAAAAAAAAAAAAAAAAAAAAAAAAAATTAATGAAAAAGCCTGTACATCGAAAAATATCCATTGATAATGTATATTAAAGAAATATATTTTGATTAAGCAAGTAGATGGTAGAGATTGTTGCTATGTTTCTCGTTATGATAAGTTAGTACCTCAGGCACTTGAACAATTTGTTTTAGCTATTAATAATGATATTTATTGACTAGAAGAAGTTCGTACTTGCAATCCATTCACTTATAAGTGCCGATATGTTTCCTTTGAGTAATGCAATCTCATTATTATTTAAACAAAGGAAACAAAAATATCTTAGCAATCAATACTTTTTAAATGTCTTAAATTGCTATAAAATTTCCTCATCTAACGTGTAGAAACTAGAATAGGATTTGCGACATGATATTCATTCTATTTAATTACTATTAACTTTACAATCTATCGCAGACCAATGTAACAATTTTATAAAGCCATTGTTACATAAATAGATGCCATGTTACACATTGTGCTTATGTTTTTACATGCAGGATCAACGCATAGACGGAACACAAACGTCATATATTTGTCAATACATCACGTTATTATAGATATATATGCTATGAGAAAAGGAGACTATTCTAATAAGATGTAAAGGATAAAATAAATCGTTTAAACTTTACAAAAAAACAAAAAAAAAAAATCAAATTAAGCTAGTTAAATAATAACCATCATTCTTTTTCCTCCTTTCTCTTGAATGATTGTTGAAAACTTGTCTTGTTTGTGTTTGTACATATAACACTTTTTTAACTTGCTAAGCGCTGTTCTCCTCTTATCATTAATTTCTGTAACGTTTAAAAACTAACACATTGTTGACTCTGATACATATACATTAATAATAATAATAAAATAAAAATAGCAAGATCATAGGAGCAAAATACTATCGATCTATTGGAGAATACAGACAAAATGACATCAAATCCCCAAGAGACTCAGGTGGCCATGGAACACATACTGCCTCAACGGCAGCAGGAGCAGCCGTAGGCACGGCAAGCCTGTCGGGCTTTGCACACGGCACGGCACGAGGAGGGGTTCCGTCGGCACGTCTAGCCGTGTACAAGATATGCTGGAACGACGAGGAATGTTACGACGTAGACATCCTCGCCGCGTTTGACGACGCCATTGCTGACGGCGTCGACATAATATCTGCGTCCCTCGGAGGGTTCGACCCCGACAACTATTTCACCAACTCCATCGCAATTGGCTCTCTTCATGCTGTCAGGAAAGGAATTCTCACTTCGGTCTCTGCTGGTAACGGAGGCCCGAGCCTTGCCAGTGTCACAAACTTTTCGCCTTGGATACTGTCAGTGGCTGCTTCCACCATTGATCGACAGTTCTTCACCAAAGTTCAATTGGGTGACCATAAGATTTATGAGGTAAGTTTTGAGCATTCTTGCATGCATTTTCTACTTTTCTTGTAGTAGTTCACAAGTACAACATAATCATAGCTATAAAAAAAAAATCCTGGATATTTCGCAGCTTTACTCTCTGAATTTTAATAAAATTACATTTTTTTTTATTTAATAAAGTGTTGCACGGTGCCCAAAATGATGACTATTGTTCAAATTTGAATTGAAGCACCCTAAAAAATGTGGCTGACATGTCTGGTCATCATCCGAAATTTCAATTTTTATCTTTTAAATGAGCTTGCATGGTGCGATGAAAGTTGTTATCAATTTAAGACATTCTATAATATTTATTAAATTTAGAGGATAGAATATCAAAATTAAAAATTCAGCAAACAACTTTCCAATTCGAGAAAAAATTACGGGAAATTTTCCCAAAAAGAACCCAAAATTTCTAAACCAGTCGAAATTAGTGTATAACTTTGCACTCTGTTGTTATACTCTCCCATTAACACATTCGTATGCTAATATTTGTTAAAAATAAGTAGTGACTAATTAACACATGGCTTCCTTTAAAAAAATAATAAAGTAACACTTGTCTAATATTGCTTCGTTTCGTTTATTTTGCCTTGAATTGGGCAGGGAATTTCAATTAATACATTTGACCTCAACAATAAAACATTTCCTCTAATATATGGTGGAGATTTCCCAAACAAAACGAAGGGTGATTACGAACTTTTGTCCAGGTGATGTGGCGTTTCATTCATGTACTCTCATTATGTACCAGTTCTTACAGCTTGAAATATTTCCATTAAACTAGATTTTATCATGCATCCAATATTTGCTAAGTTAAGTGACCTTTTCTTTCTTTCTTTCTTTCTTTCTTTCTTTTTTTTTCTTTTTTCTGACCAAGTTAACTGTTACAAATTATGGTGCAGGTATTGCGAAAAGAACTCGCTGGACAAGAATAGGGTGAAGGGTAAGATTGTGTTTTGTGATCGCATTTCCGATAGTGTCGGACAAGAGGCGTTTAGAGCCGGTGCAGCCGGTGTTATCTTCCAAGGCCGACTCGCCGGTGATGTTGTCAACTCATTTGCCTTGCCTGCAACTTACCTGAGCGTAAGGCATGCTGCCAAAATTTATATGTACATGAACTCCACAAGGTACTATATTAAGTAACCATTACACGAATTCAAATACGTAAAAAAGATAATGTTAAATTTTCAACCTTTGATTATGAACCTGATAAAATCAAACAGAAAGCCAATTGCTTCAATATGGAGAAGTACAGAGGCAAGAAATAGACTGGCTCCTTATATTCCAGCCTTTTCATCAAGGGGTCCAAATCCAGTCAGTCCTAACATTCTCAAAGTAAGTTTATGTAATTGATTTTGTCTTTTTTTTTTTTTTTTTTTTGTCTCCTTAATTTGTAATTGCTATCTGTGTTTGATAATGTGTAGCCAGATTTAGCAGCCCCGGGAGTGCAAATTCTAGCAGCATGGTCCCCAATTGCACCAATTTCATTTGTCCTCGGAGATGAAAGAACAGAAGCATACAACATAATCACAGGCACATCAATGGCTTGCCCACACGCCTCCGCAGCAGCTGCGTATGTCAAATCATTCCACCCCTCGTGGTCTCCCGCGGCAATCAAGTCATCCTTGATGACTACTGGTAAAGGCCTCATACCAACTGGAGAGTATAACTTGACAAGTAATAATATCTATGATTCAATTACTTCATGTTTCCTCTTTTTTCCTTTTTTCTTTTTTTCTTTTTTTTGTTGTTCAGCTCACCCTATGAGTACTAATCTGAACCCTGAAGGCGAATTTGCGTATGGATCCGGTCAGATAAATCCTGTTAAGGCTTTATCCCCTGGATTACTCTATGATGTTGAGGAGATTGACTATGTCAAGTTTTTGTGTGGACAAGGTTATGATACTAAGACGCTGCGAATTATTACTGCGGATAAGAGTAGCTGTAGTTTATCTGAAGAGATCAATGGATCAGCTAGAGACCTGAATTACCCTGCTTTTGCTCTCACAGTTTCGTCTTCGGAATCTGTCAGCCATGTTTTTAGCAGAACAGTGACGAATGTGGGATCACCAAATTCCACGTACAAAGCAAATTTGGCTGCCCCGGAAGGACTGAAGATCACGGTTAAACCGAGCGTTTTAAGGTTCACTTCTGTTGGGCAGAAGCTGTCTTATGAGCTGAAAGTTAAAGGGATAGTTGATAAATTTGTGGAATCTGCTTCTTTGGTGTGGGATGATGGAATTTTCCAAGTTAGGAGCCCCATTGCTATTTACCTTGAATACTAGAGGGTGATTTGTTTCAGACCAATATTATAGATTTGGTGGGATGAAAGCAAAGTGAATAAAATGAAGAAGGAAAGGACAAGAAATGCCCTTATTCTTTTCTGGTGTAAGGCATTGGAATTCATGTTAGCTTGTAAGTAGTAAGTTGAACTTTATTTTGTTTTAATACAATGATATATACCACTGACAAATGATAGCAAAGATGCCTGATTATTTTTTATTTTTTTATTTTTGCTCATAAAACAACTCACACACCTAAATCCACACACACTCTCAGAGTGACTCGAACTCTCGACTTAATATTGGAGTGGAGGGGCTCACAACTAATTGGGCTGCCCTCGCTCGTCCAAAGATGCCTGATTTAGAAATTGAGCCTTATGCGAGGAGAACTTAAGTTTGGGAGCTCAAATCCATGTGTGCTATACACATGGGGGTCCTGTTTGTTGGAATGCCACTCTCTTTTTCTCAAAACTTTTTACTTGAACCCCCCAAAAAAAATCATGAGGGGGAGAAAGAAAAAGAAAAAGAATAGAGAAGAAAGAAACAGAAAATCAAGCGAAGAGGATCCAAGACTTCTATCAAACAAGTCCTTATTTCAATGCCCCAAAAATAATATTATAGATGCAACAAATCTTTTGAGACGAGATATTGAAAAACATAGGGAATACCGTGATGTTACAAAATAATAATAATAATAATAATAAATAAATAAATAAGTGGCCGGACATATGGTAAGTCTAAAGTAGTAAAATTTTAAATCCCCCGCTGAAGTACAATGCGATAACTCTGTATTAGAATAATATCCTACAAGCTAGTTATAAAAAGATTAAGAAAAGTGAAGTTGTGGGATCTTTGCAAATTATCAACAAGGAACATTGTTAGTACTTACTTGTTACTGCCGGCTTTTTATGGCTTTTCTTCTCGTAAGACTCGCTAATAGCCGATTAATAATTTAATTAAGCTCAAATTCAGTTGAGCCCTGTATATAAATCCCATCATTTCCAAAAACTTTTCATGAAACTTTAGCCAGATCTCAAGCTTTAGAAGACCAATTACTCCATTAATGGCAAGCCACAAATCCTTTGAACGTCTTATTTATATTAGCCTCAGCTTAAGCCTGCTAATTGGCTGTTACGCAGTAGTCAACGATGACGGTCGCCAGGCAAGTATCTCTTACACAGGCATTAAAAAAAAAGTTACATTTAGGGTCGGATTTAAGACTTTACATATATATACGTGTGTTATGACAAACTCTTTTTTAACAAGCCAATGATAAAAAGTCTTGCGGGGCTTAGGGTGTGTTCGGTTGCCTAAAAAACTCAGAAAACGGCAACTCAAGTTCCAACTTTATTCAAGTTCATGTTCTTTTAAGTTTGAATTCGAGTTTGAATTCGAGTTTGAACTCGAGTTTGGGACTAAAACTCTAGTTTAAGTATCCCCTTCAACTCGAGTTCAGAAACTCGAACTCAAATTAATAAACAGTATTTTTTCTATTCTTAAAAATGCTATAACTTTTTCGTTTTAATTCTGATTGAGATGATTTTTTTTCTATGCGTTGACAACAAAAAGATGAATAAAATCCCACCCATATACTCTATTAAAATTTTTCATCACCATTGAGTTTTTATTAAAATACTATCTAAATACAAATTTAAGTTTTGACTCACTCAAACACAAAATCAAAAAAAGATTATTATCTCAAACCATAACTCAAATGTACACAACTAAACACAAACTCAAGTTATAACTTCAACTCAAGTTATAACTCAAATTCAACTCAAAAACTACACTCAAATCACACTCCAAAAGAACAGACCCTTAATTTCTTACTTTCAGCTAATTTGAAGATTGTCAGAATTGGCCATTTGATCACATTAATATCTATGTTAAGCATAACATAAGTTCATAGTTATATTAAAGTAGATATTATGCTTTGTTAGTATATATAATCATGTTGTAAGCACAGGTGCATATTGTGTACATGGGTGACCGACAAAAGGGAGAATTCTCCGTTTCTTCTCTCCACACCAGCGTACTACAAGACGCCCTTGGCAGGTTAATTAATTAATTCTCGTTATATATATATATATATTAACTTATTCATCCAAAGTCACTGAACTTGCGTGTTAGTTTTCATGCGATAGCTACAAATTTTGGTCACATTATATAGTATGTTATTTTTCTTAAAATATATAATGCAGGATTAAACCTACACCCTTTTCAACTCAAATCTCATGTTACTCGATCCCATTTCGGTCATTAGCATCTATTTGCTTAGCAATAAATTTGAGAATGATTTTTCTCCTTTGCACATATGATTTGAGTAATTGCATTTGCATGCATTGTCTTCCTGCAGGGATGCATCAGATTCTTTGGTTCATAGCTACCACAAGAGCTTCAACGGATTTGCAGCAAAGTTAACCATGGATGAGGTTCAAAAACTAGCTGGTAAACAAAAACCAATGAAAAATGCTGAGAGACTCCACCGGTGCTAAGTACCACTACTAATAGAAAGTGGGTCCATCTGTAAATCATATGCTGTGAAACCTACATTTTATTAGTGTGTGGTAGTGTCACCGGTATCTAATAGCACTGCTCAAAACCAATACGTCACAGCAAATTAAAGATATTGTTGTGGCTTAACTTGATTTGTTAATGCGTTATCGATATGAGTGTGAGTTTGTATATTTTGCAGGCATGGAAGGAGTAGTATCTGTGTTTCCTAGTCAGAAGAAACAACTCCACACTACAAGGTCATGGGACTTCATGGGTTTCTCCAAACACGTCAGCAGAACGACTGTCGAAAGCGACGTCATCATTGGAATGCTTGATACCGGAATTTGGCCGGAATCTGAAAGTTTCAGTGACGAAGGATTTGGTCCACCACCTGAAAAGTGGAGAGGCACTTGCCAAGAGTCGTCCGATTTTACCTGTAACAAGTAAAGCTTTTAACTTTTTAAAAAATAAAAAAGAAATACAAAACAAAAAACAAAATAAATAAGTAACAAGGAAAGCTTTTATATAAATTTTTACAAAAAACAAAAATCATTGATGTCATCCAGTCCTTTATTCCCTTCCTCATTTTGGAAGTCCCGGAACCGGAACCGACCAGTGAAACGGAAACGATATAAGTCAATTTTACTTGAAAGATGAGTATAATTTTCACTCAAATTAGTCACACACCAACACTCTACAAAATATTGGTCAGGACATGGATTGTAAAGGGGGAAAAAACTTAGAGCCACGTAAATAAATAAAGCTGTAAAGTGTATAGCTTATTTTCTCATAAAAAATTTGAATTAAAATCTAAATCATAGTTCAAATACACTTCCCAAACCAGCCCTTAGACGTTTATTTAACGTTTTCATTTCCACAGCAAAATCATCGGAGCTAGATACTACCGGAGCGACGGCCAATTCAGCAAAGAGGACGTCCAATCTCCAAGAGACACAAACGGCCACGGGACCCACACTTCATCGACGGCGGCCGGTGTTGTGGTCAGAAACGCCAACATGTTGGGACTCGGCTCGGGCACGGCACGAGGAGGAGTTCCTTCCGCCAGAATTGCCGTCTACAAAATTTGTTGGTTTGACGGCTGTTTTGACGCAGACATCCTCGCGGCCTTCGACGATGCAATCTCCGATGGCGTCGATATCATCTCCCTCTCGGTCGGCGGCTTCTCTCCGTTCGATTACTTCAACGACTCCATCGCCATTGGAGCCTTCCATGCAATGAAGAAAGGCATACTCACGTCCAACTCCGCCGGTAACTCTGGCCCCGGCCCTGCGACGATCTCGAACTTCTCGCCTTGGTCGCTCTCCGTGGGTGCCAGCACTATTGACAGGAAATTCTTGACCAAAGTGAAGTTGGGCAATGGTGACGAGTACGTGGTGAGTACTAGTCTTATTTGGTTGTTTTATCCTTGTTTCATTAAGTCAACTAAGGATTAGTTACAAAACTCCCCGCTTTGTATGAGACGTTAACGGAAAAAACTCCTTTTGTTAGGATTTTCAATAGAAATAGACATGATTTTGATAACTGATCTATTAGGATGAAATTATTAAAATAAAAAAATAAAAAAATAAAAAAAATTCTAATTGTTAAGGGCCGGAAATCTGATTAAATTAAAAAAAACATTAAAAAAATATTAAAACTTTTATAATCCTTCATCTCATTTCTTTGTGACTATGTGGGGAGAAGCTAATAGCAAGGTAGATATAAATTGAATTCTTCAACGATATTATCCTCGTTTTTTGTGCGACATTTGTTATTTCTATTATTCTAGAGTTTTTTTGCTAACGTATTATCAGAAAATATATGTCACGTTTTAAAGATCGGTAGTGCATTGTTATAAGAGCAATAATTGAGGGAGATTTTTTTTTTTTTTTGTGTGTAATTAATCATTCAACTAATTCACATGATCATATGTTCATGCATTATTGTTTTGAAGGGGGTCTCTGTTAACACCTTTGAGCTTGAAGAAAAAGAGTATCCTTTTATTTATGGTGGAAATGCCCCAAACACTACAGCAGGTTACACCGGAGAAGAAGCAAGGTAAGTTGAAGCAACAAGTGTAATATTTTTGCTTGTAACTAATAACCTACATTTACATACATTCAGATACAAATACATAGCTTAACATGACGATATAACCACAATATCGGTGATGTGATGCAGGTACTGCTATAACCCAGATTCCTTGGACGAAACAATGGTGAAAGGCAAAGTTGTTCTCTGCGATTATTCCGGCGGCAACGGGAGTGCAGCCTGCATTTCCGGTGCGGCGGGTATTATAATGCAAGATGGAGAAATCAAAGATTACGCTCGCGTATTTCCTATACCAGCTTCTTCCTTTGATTCCGATGTGGGAAGTGAGATTTCCCTTTATTTAAACACAACTAGGTACTTTTTCCCAAATTCAAATCCAAAAATATATAAGTGGAGGTACACACAATTCATAAGATACATGAGCATGCATATAGCTATTGGCTATTAACTCCAAATATTATCAAGTTAAAACTATCAGCATCTCCATTAATTCAGTGCAAAATTAAGTGTGTTATTGTCAAGGTCTAATATTTCGTAGGAAAACTCTAATATAATGCTGTTTTTTATGCTAAATTTAACGTGTGCTATACTTAGTGTCAAATTCGACACTAGATATAATATATGCAAAATTTTGACATTTAAGGCCGGCTATTAGTTGATGTATTAAAATTTTCATTTTAATCATTTAAAAATCGTCACTTTCAAAGTATTTTGATATAAAAAATTTAATAGTTATAACAAAAAATATAAAATATGTGAAATTGTATTATGCAAAAAAAAAATTAAAAAAAAAAAAAAAAAAAAAAAAGCATACCAAATATGTTATTTAAACTACAGCTTTAGTATTGGCTTCGATATAGTTAGCTAGGCACATACACGTACAAAAAAAACGCACAACAACACAAAAACAAAACGTACAAAAACAAAACGTGGACTTTGCAGAAAGTGAAACAGTTGAATTACTTGACATGGGTTTTGTGTGATAATTTCGACAGAGAGCCGACAGCGACTATACTGAAGGGTACTGAGGTGAAGGATGAATCGGCACCGTTTGTAGTTTCATTCTCATCAAGGGGTCCGAACCCGATCACAAGCGACATTCTTAAGGCAAGTAATCATATATATATATATATATATATATATATATATATCGAAGATAATATTGTTATCAAACATGCAGTACCTAATTTTCCATTGTAGTGACTAATGATCTCTGCCTTACCTTTTCATAAAAAATATTGGAATATTTTCAACTTATTAGCTTTAGTCTCTGCATATATCTATATATGCGCGCAGCCGGATCTAACAGCACCAGGAGTGGACATTTTAGCTGCATGGACAGGAGCCACGAGTCCGACAAGATTAGAAAAGGACAAGAGAATAGTTCCATACAATATAATCTCCGGCACATCCATGTCTTGCCCACATGCAACTGCAGCAGCTGCCTACGTCAAGTCGTTTAATCCAACACGGTCCCCTGCTGCTATTAAGTCCGCACTAATGACCACAGGTATTAATACACACACGTATTTATATGTATATGTATATGTATAATATATATATATAGTGCGTAAATTAACCAAGAATTTTGTCACCGCTACTGAAATAAATATGTATGAAAAGATCACTCTGCTAAGGACAATCATTATTATTATTATTATTATTATTATTATTATTATTATTATTATTATTATTATTATTATTATTATTATTTTACCAATTCTTATTGTCACAACCGTTATAAATAGATTTAGGAGAGCCATGCAGACCAATGTGATTAGTCTAGTTATTATTGGTAACTAGTTAGACAATTGATATGAAATACTCTTTTCAAGATTAGAAAAACCCCTAAATGCTAATTTTTTTTAGATGATGGTGTACCACACAAACACAATAATGCAATACACTAGGCCCATTGAATAATTTTTCTTTTTGTCTTTCGAGAAATGATGAGAAATGATAAGTGATATGAGAATTGAGTAGACCCACTAAACAATTAACTTCCCTAGTGATTGATGGTGAAAAAGAAAAAAAAGAAAAATAGTAATAACACTTTACATAATATTACATAATATATATTACCGTGGCCTAGCTGCCTTTATAAAAATGTTAGGTATGTATGTATGTATGTAACTATATAACACACCATCACTTATGTTTCTTTGCAGCTTATCCAATGACTGATGAGATTAATTACGAAGCCGAGTTTGCGTACGGATCAGGTCACATAAACCCTGAAAGAGCGATAGATCCTGGCTTGGTATACGATGCTGGAGAGATTGACTACGTTGAATTTTTGTGTGGACAAGGATATAGTACTAAGTCCCTTAGACTTGTGACTGGAGATAAGAGCAGTTGTTCTAAGGTCCAAGAAATAACTGCCCGTGACTTGAATTACCCTTCTTTTGCGCTTTCCACAAGTTCAAAAAAATTTGTCACCAAGATCTTCCATAGGACTGTCACAAATGTCGGACCGCCGGACTCGACCTACAAGGCAATTATGAAAGCTCCCAAGGGACTGAAAATCAAAGTCAAGCCAAGGACTCTTTCTTTTGAATCCGTTGGGCAGCAAAAAACCTTTGTCCTGAAGGTTAGGGCAAAGGTGGATGAAAATCGAAGTATGATTTCTGGCTCTTTGGTTTGGGATGATGGAAAGCGGCAAGTGAGGAGTCCCGTAGTTGCTTACTATAACTCCTCTTAAAGGAGTTGTTTAAAGGTTGAGAACATGCTATATTATGTTTGGGAATTAAAGAAAAAATATATAATAAAGCAATCAGTAATATCATGTTTATTTGCACGTACGTGCAATATATATACAATTTCATTTCAGTTTTCATTTTTTTGTTAGGAGTCCGGTGGGGAATAGGGTCAATTTCTGACTGTTGGATTAAAAACATATATATGCAGAACGACAGTTTTTTATACATATTTAAATGCTAAAAATATAAAATAATTGGTAGTTCATTTTTCTTATCCCTTTTTCGTTAGTATTTTTTTAAATAAGATTTTTTAGTTTCAATAACTCAACTCTTAAAATCAAGTGGATGAATTGTGTAATGCAACATTACAGATTAAATTGTTAATACCATAGGAAAAGCATGGCGGGTTACAACCCGTAGCCTGACAGTGATACAAACGGCCGCCGTTGTTCCTATAAGAGATAAATCTTCGGTTTTGTTAGTAACTAGAAGTTGATGGGGCATTACTATTAAATGATGAAGACATGTGACATAATAAGAAGACAGATAGTGATACAGGGTGCGATATTTAAAGTGACAATCATTTATCTTAAATGTTTTTAATGAAAAGAAAGTCAGTTGTCCAAAATTACTTAAAGAATAACTGCATTTCATATAAAGTATATGCTTCCTCTGTTCTTATCTCGTTAACCCATGTCACAGGACTGTCACAAATGTAAGACAACGAAACACAACATTGGATACAAAAATTATTGTGGTTATTTCCACAAGTTGCTGGTGATATAGAGGTTAGAATGCCCTTTCTTTTTTCTCCTTTCAAGATGGGTTTAAGTTTCAGTTAGTGTACCCTATTTTAAGGTTTCTCCCTAGTCAACGGACTATGCAACGTTGAGCTTGTGGTCTGGTGGTACTGAAACTAAGCTCTTCTTTTACTGATACCAAAAGTGAATTTGATGATGATGTTTTTAACTGGCGACAAAAGACATGAAGATGATTTAAACCTTGTCGTCAAATTCAACATCCTTCTATGTCTTCAACATATGAAGATAGTGTGTGTAGAACTAATGACACTTTTTCAGAAAATTGTTGTTAAGTATCTTTATTTAAAAAAAGATTTAAAAATTGTCAAGAGTGATATTGACTAAAATGATTTTTTAAATGAATTTACCTGATTATAATTTTTTTAAAAATATCATATTTTATCAAACAACATAAATAACAATCTTGAAATATATATATATATATGTGTGCGTGTGTGTCTCTCTCTCTCTACAAAATCTAATAAATACAAAATGCTTAAATAGGATGAAACAGTACTCAATATAAATCCTAAAAGAAAAATCAAATCAGCTACATAAATCCAACAAATAACAACAACAACATCAACAACCCCAAAAATCCTAAACTCGGCGGTCACAATGGCAGCTGTGGATACGATATGAGGGTCACGACAATGGTTATGAGCACGGTCGAGAGAGCGAGTGGGATTTAAGGAGAAAGAGAGAGAAAGAGAAGGATTTGGGAGAAAAAACTTTAAGGTCTAGGAAGGAAAAATGCACAAAAATATAGAAGGGACGTGAAAAAGTTTGCTGTAAAAAAATTAGTATTTAACTATGGTTTTTTAAAACACCTCTAATGTCTGTATATGTTAAAGTATAAAATTATTGTTGGCCCTTCTCTTAATAGCTTAAGCTTTTGGGATGGATTGGTAAACTAGCATGGTATTAAAGCGGGAGGTGCTGAGTTTCAACCCCCGTAATTGCACTCTTTATCCCCATTTAAAATTGTCATCATGTGTCTCAGGCCTAAATATTCACGTGTTGGACTTTCTAATTAATTTACCCACACGATTGCCTATTGTTCAGCCCACACGTGAGGAGGAGTGTTAAAGTATAAAACTATTATTGGTCCACCTCCTAATAGCTTAAGTTTTTGGGATGGATTGGTAAACTAAATTAGTATTTAACTATGGTTTTTTAAAACACCTCTAATGTCTGTATACGGATCTCCAAAATGTGAAAATTCTCTGAACCGCCTTTTTCGTGTGTATTAGACGTCATGTAATGTCTACTTACAAATTTTCGAAACACGAAAAATCTCCACATCTCCTTTTTATTTCATACAGTAGATGACATTTTCCCTAAAACACTGTTAAATATTAGGTGTCGACTTGCAGTACTTTATGTCGAATGTTTGAGTCATACAATTTTCTTATATAGATGGGTCTTGTATTTTCGCTATAACGAAAGAGATGGAGATTGGATAATACCATTGATAACCCCATTTTCTTAAACAAAGAAATATTGGGATACCATGAAGTGGTTTATCAAATTTTTAAGTTATAAGTCTTCACCCTTACGAACCAACATCTTGCATAGTGTGTCATTTAACACCAAAAATTTGGTAAGCTTATAAATACCTGCATAATATGTAATAAGAGTTGTCTCATTTTGTCCTCTATAATTTAAAATGGCATTAAAGTTACCTCTGAACTTTTCATAAGTTATAACTTTGCAATTGTTAATGAAGCAAAAATTTTATGGTTTTAATCTCATGTGGGTCACATGACTACTTGGTAAAGGGAATATAATAAATTTAAATATAGATTTCAAAATTTTCAAAAGCTTATTAAGAAAACTCACAAATTTTCTATCGCTCTAACTCTAAATTGTCTTTTGTTTTACTTTCAACCCTACATTAATATTGGTCTCATAAATACATATACATATATATATATATATATATGTTTTTACCATCTAATCACGTCACTCGCGTGTGATTAAACCTATTAAAAAATAGAGTTTTATCAATTGAAATATCATAGTTACAGCTATAAGAGTTCAGGGTCAAATCCGTGTTATTTTGAATTCTAATTGGTAAAGTGAAATCACAATTCCTATTGTCAAATGAAAACGAATCAATATATAACGTGAAGACCTAGACAAGTAAGGAGTTTCTATGAAAATTGAGGAAAAAATTACAATTCCCATCCGCATGCACATGTCAATTAACATCACTGAAGAAAGCAACGTGTTACCTTGACAATGTAGCATTTTTTTAAAATGAAAATAAATGTCGTAAAATCATTTTGGTCATCCACTCTCTAGAATAGTATAAAAGAATATTCTCGAATTTCTAGAAGAGCATGAGTGATATTGTAAAGCAACTGTATACACATTCATACATATATATATATATATATATATATTGATAGAGCGATAAGAATTCATCTAAACTGATCGATTCGGATCTCCTTCTCCAACAACGAATTACTCTTGCCTTATAAAAGTAGTCAATTTTCGCTTGACTCATGAAAGCCAATTATCTTGTTTTGCTTTGGATCTCAAGCACAGGAAAGTATATATGAATTCATGCATGTGCGAAATGCACGATTTACCAAAATTTGGTCAAGTCTATGAACATATTATCTACGCTAGGGGAATAAAGACAAAGAAGAAGGTATATATAGGTTTATTAGATCGTCCTTGGTTATAATCTTTTACAAAATTAAAAATAAAGTTGATAAGGATAGTCAACCTTACCTTAATTATGTGCCGGGCCACCAACTTTAATATATTTTTATTCTCGTTCTCGCCCCTGCTTTTAAGTTAGGGCTAATACATATACTACATTTTTCATGTACCTCTCAACTTTAATCTGTAAAAGGTTTTTATAATGAAATTCAGCTAGACTGTCATTTGATTCTCTATCGTCATTATACTTTCCCATCTCATTGTTGCAGTGAAATTTACCGTTATAAACGCGTCAAAAAAATAACGTATATATATATGTACCAAAATTTAATAATTTATTATTCTTAAAAAAAATTATATATATATATAAGCATATATAATATAAATATGTATACCACCATCATTACGTAAGATTCGCAGCGTGCGAACAAAAGCTCTTACCAGGAATAGTGTTTAGATTGACAGCAATTGTTATATACATATTTGACAGATTCACTTATGTGACTGTTATTTCTTACTTGACCTATTAATCAAAGGTAGAATTAATTTAGCTCAGACTAATTCATTCTGACGTTTGACCAAAATATGGAAAATGATCTTGAAGTTCTTGTATGTATAAACATGATGCACAATGATGCGAAACATGAGTTTGAACACGTTCTTTGTTTTGTTTTCCTCTCTCTCGCTTAAAAATTACGAAGAAAAATGAGAGTTTTGAAAGTCAGAGGACTGTCTTTAACTACGTTAAAAGTGAAAACTTTTATTTTCAAAAGAACTGTGGGACATAATCACATTTTCAACTTCTATGATCTATATATTATTCTATTGCTTGCAATATTGATTGGTGTTTGGTACATCATTTTTCTTCGGACATATCGCTCGTAAATTCCATTTTCAAGCAAACAAATTGAATATATTTAAAAAAATAATTATATAATGTACTCGATCTGGATCATACGTGACTCTAAGACCATCTCCAATGAATATGCCAATACCAATAATATATTTGTTACTAAAAAGTGTGAAAATAACATATTTAGTGGGTATATGCTATTCCAAATGCTATATCTATCTTTCTGTAATTATTAAGTCTTGAAAGTTGTAAACAAAAATATTGATATAATTTGAAAGTGAAAATGATGTTATATTGATGAAAGAAAAAGTAAATGTATCAACTAATAATCACAATCAATGTCAAATTTGGTATATGCTAAATTTCACGATAATTTAATGCTAAACTTCATGATAAATTTACCACCAAGTTTAACATATGGGAAATTTAGCACAACAAATAGCATCGCATTTTAGAATATTTTTACGCTCAAACGTCAAGTTTACATAAATTACTCGTGTAACTACCGTTATATATATCTAAAAAGAGAAAAATCCACCCGTGAAGATGGCTCAACATGAGAAAACAACAGAAAAGGCAATCGGCCGCTGTGCACAATATATAGGTTACATTACGTAATAGCAGATTCAAAAAATGGTTGGCTTATTTGTTAAATACAATATATTTCTTGGTATTG